TGGCAGGTCTAACCAAACCTAATGTGGCAGGTCTAACCAAACCTAATGTGGCAGGTCTAACCAAACCTAATGTGGCAGGTCTAACCAAACCTAGTGTGGCAGGTCTAACCAAACCTAATGTGGCAGGCCTAACCAAACCTAATGTGGCAGGTCTAACCAAACCTAATGTGGCAGGTCTAATCAAACCTAGTGGCAGGTCTAACCAAACCTAATGAGGTAGGTATAACCAAACCTAATGTGGCAGGGCTTATCAAACCTAGTGGGGCAGGTCTAACCAAACCTAGTGGGGCAGGTCTAACCAAACCTAGTGGGGCAGGTCTAACCAAACCTAGTGGGGCAGGTCTAACCAAACCTAGTGGGGCAGGTCTAACCAAACCTAGTGGGGCAGGTCTAACCAAACCTAATGTGGTAGGTCTTATCAAACCTAGTGTGGCAGGTATAACAAAACCTAGTGTGGCAGGTCTATCCAAACCTAGTGTGGCAGGTCTAACCAAACCTAGTGTGGCAGGTCTAACCAAACCTAGTGTGGCAGGTCTAACCAAACCTAGTGTGGCAGGTCTATCCAAACCTAGTGTGGCAGGTCTAACCAAACCTAGTGTGGCAGGTCTAACCAAACCTAGTGTGGCAGGTCTAACCAAACCTAGTGTGGCAGGTCTAACCAAACCTAATGTGGCAGGTCTAAGCAAACCTAATGTGGCAGGTCTAAGCAAACCTAATGTGGCAGGTCTAAGCAAACCTAATGTGGCAGGTCTAAGCAAACCTAATGTGGCAGGTCTTATCAAACCTAATGTGGCAAGTCTTATCAAACCTAAGGTCTAACCAAACCTAGCGTTGGAGGCCTAACCTAACTAAATGTGGCAAGCCTAATCTATATTGGCAGTCTTAACCTAATATGGCAGGCCTAATCTATATTGGTGGGCCTAACCTAGTGTGGAACGTCCATCTAGTTGCTCCCTAGAGTGGACTATTATTGTACAATAACAACCTGGAGACCTGGTGGACCAAACTCTCACAAGTCAAGTCTGGCCTCGGGCCGGGCTCGGGGAGTAGAACTCCCAGAACCCCATCAACCAGGTATCAACCAGGTAACCTCATTCAAAACTGGATAAATTGCTGACCTGGAGAGCATGCAAAGATCCTTTACTGCTCACTCTATAGTAACTCACTTCACTCTATAAAACATCTAAATTACTGAGAGTTTTTAAGTGTGAGGCCTAACCTACAGTGGGAGATCTAACACAGGGTGGGAGGCCTAACCTAGTGCGGGGGTCTAACTAAGAGTGAGAGGCCTAACCTAGTGTGGAGGTCTAACTAAGAGTGAGAGGCCTAACCTAGTGTGGAGGTCTAACTAAGAGTGAGAGGCCTAACCTAGTGTGGAGGTCTAACTAAGAGTGAGAGGCCTAACCTAGTGTGGAGGTCTAACTAAGAGTGAGAGGCCTAACCTAGTGTGGAGGTCTAACTAAGAGTGAGAGACCTAGCCTAGGCTGGGAGACCAAACACAAGGTGGAAGCTAAACACAAGGTGGGAGGCCTAATCTAGTGCTGGAAACCTAACCTAGAGTAGAAGACTTCACCTAGTGAGAGAGACCTAACCAAGTCCAGAACTAGCCTAACATGGGAGCCTTAGTGAAGGACTTAACCTAGTATGGAAGACTTTGCGCAGGAGACCTAACCATGCGCAGGAGACCTAAGCATCTGCAGGAGACCTAACACAGACCTGAGCTAGTGTGGGGAGACCTAGTACAGACCTGAGCTAGTGTGGGAGACCTAGCACAGACCTGAGCTAGTGTGGGAGACCTAGCACAGACCTGAGCTAGTGTGGGAGACCTAGCACAGACCTGAGCTAGTGTGGGAGACCTAGCACAGACCTGAGCTAGTGTGGGAGACCTAGCACAGACCTGAGCTAGTGTGGGAGACCTAGCACAGACCTGAGCTAGTGTGGGAGACCTAGCACAGACCTGAGCTAGTGTGGGAGACCTAGCACAGACCTGAGCTAGTGTGGGAGACCTAGCACAGACCTGAGCTAGTGTGGGAGACCTAGCACAGACCTGAGCTAGTGTGAGAGACCTAGCACAGACCTGAGCTAGTGTGAGAGACCTCGTACAGGCCTGAGCTAGTGTGAGAGACCTAGTACAGACCTGAGCTAGTGTGGGAGACCTAGTACAGACCTGAGCTAGTGTGGGGAGACCTAATACAGACCTGAGCTAGTGCGGGGAGACCTAGCACAGACCTGAGCTAGTGTGGGAGACCTAGCACAGACCTGAGCTAGTGTGGGAGACCTAGCACAGACCTGAGCTAGTGTTGGAGACCTAGCACAGACCTGAGCTAGTGTTGGAGACCTAGCACAGACCTGAGCTAGTGTGAGAGACCTAGCACAAACCTGAGCTAGTGTGGGAGACCTAGCACAGACCTGAGCTAGTGTGGGAGACCTAGCACAGACCTGAGCTAGTGTGAGAGACCTAGCACAAACCTGAGCTAGTGTGAGAGACCTAGCACAGACCTGAGCTAGTGTGAGAGACCTAGCACAGACCTGAGCTAGTGTGGGAGACCTAGCACAGACCTGAGCTAGTGTGAGAGACCTAGCACAGACCTGAGCTAGTGTGGGAGACCTAGCACAGACCTGAGCTAGTGCGGGGAGACCTAGCACAGACCTGAGCTTGTGTGGGAGACCTAGCACAGACCTAGCACAGACCTGAGCTAGTGCGGGGAGATCTAGCACAGACCTGAGCTAGTGTGGGGAGACCTAGCACAGACCTGAGCTAGCGTGGGAGACCTAGCACAGACCTGAGCTAGTGTGGGAGACCTAGCACAGACCTGAGCTAGTGTGAGAGACCTAGTACAGACCTGAGCTAGTGTGGGAGACCTAGCACAGACCTGAGCTAGTGAGAGAGACCTAGCACAGACCTGAGCTAGTGTGGGAGACCTAGCACAGACCTGAGCTAGTGTGGGAGACCTAGCACAGCCCTGAGCTAGTGCGGGGAGACCTAGCACAGACCTGAGCTAGTGCGGGGATACCTAGCACAGACCTGAGCTAGTGCGGGGAGACCTAGCACAGACCTGAGCTTGTGTGGGAGACCTAGCACAGACCTGAGCTAGTGCGGGGAGACCTAGCACAGCCCTGAGCTAGTGTGGGAGACCTAGCACAGACCTGAGCTAGTGCGGGGAGACCTAGCACAGACCTGAGCTAGTGAGAGACCTAGCACAGACCTGAGCTAGTGTGAGAGACCTAGCACAAACCTGAGCTAGTGTGAGAGACCTAGCACAGACCTGAGCTAGTGTGAGAGACCTAGCACAGACCTGAGCTAGTGTGGGAGACCTAGCACAGACCTGAGCTAGTGTGAGAGACCTAGCACAGACCTGAGCTAGTGTGGGAGACCTAGCACAGACCTGAGCTAGTGCGGGGAGACCTAGCACAGACCTGAGCTAGTGTGGGAGACCTAGCACAGACCTGAGCTAGTGCGGGGAGACCTAGCACAGACCTGAGCTAGTGTGGGGAGACCTAGCACAGACCTGAGCTAGCGTGGGAGACCTAGCACAGACCTGAGCTAGTGTGGGAGACCTAGCACAGACCTGAGCTAGTGTGAGAGATCTAGTACAGACCTGAGCTAGTGTGGGAGACCTAGCACAGACCTGAGCTAGTGAGAGAGACCTAGCACAGACCTGAGCTAGTGTGGGAGACCTAGCACAGACCTGAGCTAGTGTGGGAGACCTAGCACAGACCTGAGCTAGTGCGGGGAGACCTAGCACAGACCTGAGCTAGTGCGGGGAGACCTAGCACAGACCTGAGCTAGTGCGGGGAGACCTAGCACAGACCTGAGCTTGTGTGGGAGACCTAGCACAGACCTGAGCTAGTGCGGGGAGACCTAGCACAGCCCTGAGCTAGTGTGGGAGACCTAGCACAGACCTGAGCTAGTGCGGGGAGACCTAGCACAGACCTGAGCTAGTGAGAGACCTAGCACAGACCTGAGCTAGTGTGGGAGACCTAGCACAGACCTGAGCTAGTGTGGGAGACCTAGCACAGCCCTGAGCTAGTGTGGGAGACCTAGCACAGCCCCGAGCTAGTGTGGGAGACCTAGCACAGACCTGAGCTAGTGCGGGGAGACCTAGCACAGACCTGAGCTAGTGCGGGGAGACCTAGCACAGACCTGAGCTAGTGCGGGGAGACCTAGCACAGCCCTGAGCTAGTGCGGGGAGACCTAGCACAGCCCTGAGCTAGTGCGGGGAGACCTAGCACAGACCTGAGCTTGTGCGGGGAGACCTAGCACAGACCTGAGCTAGTGCGGGGAGACCTAGCACAGCCCTGAGCTAGTGCGGGGAGACCTAGCACAGCCCTGAGCTAGTGCGGGGAGACCTAGCACAGACCTGAGCTTGTGTGGGAGACCTAGCACAGACCTGAGCTAGTGCGGGGAGACCTAGCACAGACCTGAGCTTGTGCGGGGAGACCTAGCACAGACCTGAGCTAGTGTGGGAGACCTAGGACAGACCTGAGCTAGTGCGGGGAGACCTAGCACAGACCTGAGCTAGTGTGGGGAGACCTAGCACAGACCTGAGCTAGTGCGGGGAGACCTAGCACAGACCTGAGCTAGTGTGGGAGACCTAGCACAGACCTGAGCTAGTGTGGGAGACCTAGGACAGACCTGAGCTAGTGTGGGAGACCTAGGACAGACCTGAGCTAGTGTGGGAGACCTAGGACAGACCTGAGCTAGTGCGGGGAGACCTAGCACAGACCTGAGCTAGTGTGGGAGACCTAGCACAGACCTGAGCTAGTGTGGGAGACCTAGGACAGACCTGAGCTAGTGCGGGGAGACCTAGCACAGACCTGAGCTAGTGCGGGGAGACCTAGCACAGACCTGAGCTAGTGCGGGGAGACCTAGCACAGACCTGAGCTAGTGCGGGGAGACCTAGCACAGACCTGAGCTAGTGCGGGGAGACCTAGCACAGACCTGAGCTAGTGCGGGGAGAGGTAACTAGTGCAGGCGTCGTGGGAGACGGTGATCTCACCTGGATGAAGCCTCAAGACGCTCCGGGGACCGAAGGCTGGCAGTAGAGAGGAGTGCCATTCACAGCCAGGCAGCCAGGGCACACCACGATGCCTGGCGGGTGGCCGCGGGTGGCAGGAGGGCCATGGGTGCCTGCGAGGCCATGGGTGGCAGCAGGAGGGCCATGGGTCACAATTAGTGCCTCGCTGAGGGGGGGGGATAATCTTTTGACTCACTGTCACTCACTCCAGGAGGCGTCTCACACACGCGTACGCATTAATCCATTCTTCCTCGCTTCAGGTTTATCTTACGCCCTTAATTTGTGGTCGGTGGGGCGGTGTTGACCGCCAGTGCGGGTCTCGGAGGCTCGCGGCGGGGTTTTAAAGCCGCCAAATGGGTTAAAATGGGTGAAAATGGTGTTTGTTTACTGTGGCAGGGAAGGACAACAACACGGGTTAGAGAGCACTGGAGCCCCCTGGCGGCCGCCCGGCCAAGGTGCGGGGCGGCGGCTCCTCCACCACTCTCTCCAACACTCCTCCACTCTCTCTTCCCCCCCCCCTCCCTCTCTCTCTCTCTCTCTCTCTCTCTCTCTCTACACTCACTCTACAAGCATCTCATTATTTAATAATAGCCCTTTTAATTCATTAACTCCACCATCAGCTTATATCCTGGACCAATCCGCCAGCAATTTTCTCCAACACTTCCTGGCGAGCCTCTGCCTCTCTCTCTCTCTCCACCACCCCCAGCAATGGCAGTCTCCACCCCTTATACAATCATTTCATTGTCTGGTACATCTCCCTGTTATTTCCTCCCTCCACAACCTTCACCCCCGTGAAGAATATAGTCAGTGTCTCCCAAGTCGATACATTGACCGGTATATAGATGGGGGGAGGGGACGGAATTGAGGGATTTACATTCTTCATTTTATACAAACTATAGCCTTATACAATATATATATACTTATACAAGCTAATGTTTCTAGTTATAAGTTCTACTTCCAGCGTCTTAAACGATTTAATTGTGCAATATTATGATCCTAACACAGATGATATATAAATTAAATCTTACAAAGCCCAAAATGTGGCGGTAATGATATAGTTTCATATATTAAGTATATGCAGTTGTATATAAATTACACCTAAACTGTATATGAATGGTTGCCACATGCATGGTGAATATTAGAGTTTATTGGTGGCACCATATATGCACAGCGCATGTTATATATACTTATATTAGCAGTTTTTGCACCCAATATACCCTATCCTGTGAGCGGTAGTTTATTGGCCACCTCATATTCATCCTGTGAGTGATAGTTTATTGTCCCCCTCATATTCATCCTGTGAGTGATAGTTTATTGTCCCCCTCATATTCATCTTGAGTGATAGTTTATTGTCCACCTCATATTCATCCTGTGAGCGGTAGCTTATTACCCACCTCATACTCATCATATGAGCGTACACAGTTTAGTGTGCACCCCATACTCATCCTGTGAGCGCTAATTTTCCGTCTCATACTCATCCTGTGATGGTATAGTGAGCGCTTGTTTATTGTGCAATTCGTACTCATCCTGTGTGATTGTTTATTGTATTTATTGTACGGTTTCAAGCTCAACAAGCCACAATTCAGGACTGAGAACGTGAGATGCTTTTTCACCAACAGGGTTATAAACCCGTGGAACCGCCTACCCGCCGGAGCCGTAAATGCCAAAATTCTGTTAACTTTTAAAGTACAACTGGAAAAGATCATCAAGGCAAATGGGGGGAACCTTCGACATGCCGCCGGCTTCCTGTCCTCGTCGAGGTTACCAGTGTTAATGGCTGAATGACCCCATTCTCATCTTGGGACGGTAGTAGTTTATTGTGTACCTCTCATTCATCCTAGTGGTGGTATTCACTGTGCTCGTCATACTCATAGTAGCTTATTGTACACCTCATACTCATGCTGTGAGCCATAGTTTATTGTTCACCTCATACTCATGCTGTGAGCCATAGTTTATTGTTCACCTCATACTCACGCTGTGCGCCATAGTTTATTGTTCACCTCATACTCATGCTATGGGCCATAGTTTATGGTTCACCTCATACTCATGCTGTGAGCCATAGTTTATTGTTCACCTCATACTCATGCTGTGAGCCATAGTTTATTGTTCACCTCATACTCATGCTGTGAGCCATAGTTTATTGTTCACCTCATACTCACGCTAGTTTATTGTTCACCCTCATACTCACGCTGTGTTCACCTCATACTCATGCTGTGAGCCAAAGTTTATTGTTCACCTCATACTCATGCTGTGAGCCATAGTTTATTGTTCACCTCATACTCATGCTGTGAGCCATAGTTTATTGTTCACCTCATACTCACGCTGTGCGCCATAGTTTATTGTTCACCTCATACTCATGCTATGGGCCATAGTTTATTGTTCACCTCATACTCATGCTATGGGCCATAGTTTATTGTTCACCTCATACTCATATGGACCATAATTTATTGTTCACCTCATACTCATGCCATAGTTTATTGTTCACCTCATACTCATGCTATGGGCCATAGTTTATTGTTCACCTCATACTCATATGGATAGTTTATTGTTCACCTCATACTCATTTGGGCCATAGTTTATTGTTCACCTCATACTCATGCTGTGAGCCATAGTTTACACTGTATCCTATACTCATCCTGTGGGTGATTTTTACTGTGTATGCCATACTCATCCTGTGATGGTAGTTTATTACATTACCCCATACTCATCCTGAGTGATAGTTATGCACCCCATACTCATTCTGTGAACAGTATATTGTGCACCCCATACTCATTCTGTGAACAGTATATTGTGCACCCCATACTCATTCTGTGAGCAGTATATTGTGCACCCCATACTCATCCAGTGCATCATGTATGAGTAAATTTTGAGATCTTTGTGATGGTCCCAATAATTTAAATGCTTTATCTGGTCTATACATGCATTTCTTGGAACAGAGGGCATATTGATTACATATATGGCATGCATCAACGCAAAAAAAAGTCAGAGAAATTGAAGGGTGTACAAAGACAAATTATTTAGAAAGGGGTGGAACACGAACAAGGGGACACAGGTGGAAGCTTAGTACTCAATGAGGTGAAGAGATATTAGAAGGAATTTTTTCAGTGTCAGAGTAGTTAACAAATGGAATGCATTAGGCAGTGATGTGGTGGAGGCAGGCTTTATACACAGTTTTAAATGTAGATATGATAGAGCCTAATAGGCTCAGGAACTTGTACACCAGTTGATTGATAGTTGAGGCGGGACCAAAGAGTCAAAGCTCAACCCCAGCAAGCACAACTAGGTGAGTACAATAAGGCACCTAAACTATTGAGATCATCTCAAAGTTCTCAAAATGTACTCGCTAGAAAGAAGACAAGAGAAGTACTGTATGACATAATATACATATATATACTATACATGTAAGATTCCAGAAGGCCAGGTCTCAAATTTGCGCGATAAAATAACATACTGGAGTGAAAGATATGGTACACATGATAAAGAACTGAGGTGTCAGGGTGTAGTGAATATGTCCAATAGACACAATGAAGAGTAAAGGTGCCATAGATACAACCAGAAAATACTGTATAAACATTGGAGGTCAACAGCTATTCAAAATTCTCCCTCCATATATAAGAAATAATGCTGGTACAAAAGTGGCAGTGTTGAAGAGAAAATTAGACCACGTTTCTGCAAGAAGTGTTGGGGGCCAACAGGGTTGTAGCTGATGTGTTGGCCTGTGGGCCACTCCAAGCAACAACCTGCTGGACCAAGTCTTCACACAAGTCGAGCCTGACTCCAGGCTGGTCTTGGGAAGTAGAACTCCCAGAACCCACTCTAGCCATAGGAGTGGTATTTTATTGTACGAGTACACCCATACTCATTCTGAGCATGTTCACTGTGCATCCACTATAGTCATTCTGTGTTTTGAAGTCTATTAGATTCAGTGGAGGAAGAAAGCAGATACACTGTTTCATTATAATGAGCACAGACCGTGAGAATGCTGGGTGTGGTTACCACTGCAATTAATGCAGTGAGCCAATAGACTTACACAAAGTGGGCAAAAACATATCACATCTCGGCAAGCTGAAGCAACATGGCCAAACTTCAAAACATGTACAGCACTGACAGGGGACATAATCTTGGAAAGAACATTTGAATATCTCCCTAGGATAACCGAGGTGGGGAGGGTTTGACTATCATATGTAATTTTAATGATATGGAGGGGAAAAGTATCTTTACCATGAGGAGAACTTGTCCACCTGGATAGTAAGAGTTTGAAGATGGTTCTATTATCATAATGGAAGTCCTGAAGATCTCTGCCTCCAATGGAAATATGTAGGTGGGAATACGAAACTCTCACTAACATCTAGCCAGACAATTTTGATGACTTGTCAAATCCTCACCATGAAGCAAAATGGTTGTGTTCCTGAAACTGGCCCTCAAAAATATGCGTGTCAAACATTTGAGACAACAGACTGAAGTGAATAAGCAGCGCGAGATACTCAACAATTGCATGATCTTCTGCATAATTAGGATATATATTTAGTTTATATGGGCACGTCAAACTTATTGAACTACATTTACTATTGGGCCCCAGTGCAAAGGAGATGGAATTTTCACAGATGACAACAAAGACATAATTCAGTAAGTCAAGCCTGGCCCCGGGCTGGGCTTTGGGAGTGGAACTCCCAGAATGCCATCCAGATACAGTATGATTACATTTTCAGTGAACCCCTAAACACATTGAACATTAATAGTCCCCGTAGCACAGTGGTAAAACACTTGCCTGGCGCTTAGCAAGTGCCTGGCCTGCATTTGTACCTGGCCAGGGAGGACGGACTGGGCACCAATCCTTAACTGTAGCCTCTGTTCACCCAGCAGTGAATATGGTTGTTAAACGATTCAGCGGGTCGTATTCTGGGAAAAATTAGGATTAACAACGTGCCTGAAATGCTCTGAGTGCTAGTGGCTTTACAAGAATGTAAGAACTCTTGTACATATAAATAAAAAATTAATAAATTAAAAAATAATAAAATAATAAAAAATAACCCAAACATATTCTTCTTGAATGTGATACATCAAATCATATATCAGATGTCATCCTAACCCCACTAGATTCTGAAGTACATGCGATAAACAGTATACCCATGCACTCTGCACCAAGCTCCTGGAACTCCATATTCATCAAGAAATGTAAAAAAAAACTATTACAGGCCCTTAACATATATTGGAGAGGGAGCCTAGATACTGGTATTATCCTGACAAACCAGTACGTAAAACAATGGAGATGATACTACCCCATAATGCAGGGAATAAAGCAAAGGCAAAAAATTATAGACCGACAGCACTTACATCACACATCATAAAACTCCTATGAGTGTTAAGCAGTAAGATCACAAAACAAGTGGAATTACAGCATCTACATAACCCCGAACAGCATGGGTTCAGAACAGGGTGCTCCTGCCTCACATAATTGCTAGACCACTATGACATGGCCTTAGATGCCATGGAAAATAAGCAAAATGCTGATTTAATATACACATTTGGCAAAAGCTTTCAACAAATGTGACTTGGTGTTATTACACACAACAGAGGAGTTTTGAGAGCCATTGTCTACCATATTTAATAAATCACTAGTCCAGTGTTATGGAAGATTGCTAATGTGGTACCAATTTTTATGAAAGGAGATAGATCACTTGCGTCAAACTATCGGCCAATTAGCCTAATGTCTGTTGTGGGAAAGTTACTCGAATCGATAATTACAAATACCATTCATCTTCATCTTGAAAAACATATTAACAAATGACTCACAACATGGTTTTACAAATGGTCGTTCATGTTTAATGAATTTGCTATCATTTTACTCCAGCATAGTTGAGGCAGTTGATAGTGGTAAGGTTTGTAATGTTATGTACCTCGACTTTAGTAAAGCTTTTGATACAGTGCCACATGAAAGACTGATTAAAAGATAGAGGCTCATGATATTGGGGGTACTGTACTATATTTAGTTGAATTAGGGCATGGCTATACCAAAAGAAATAGTTAGTATAAATGGAGTTAAGTCAGAGTGAGAAAATGATGTAAGTAAAATGTCTCAAGGTTCTGTCCTGGGAACTATGTTAGTCATAATATATTTAAATGATTTAGATTCAGGTTTGAGCAGAAATATTTGCAAATTTGCCGATGATACAAAAATCGTGAGCAAAATAAACATGAAAAAAACTCGCTATCACTTCAAGATGATCTAAATAGGGTTTTGAAATGGTCAAAAGACTGGCAGATGCAGTTTAATGCTGACAAATGTAAGGTTTTGAGGCTAGGTAATGATGAGAGTTACAAGATATGAGCTAGATGGTGTTGAGTTTGCAAAATCTAATTGCGAAAGGGATCTGGGAGTTATGATTAGTAAGAATTTAAAACCAAACAATTAATGCATAAATGTTCGTAATAAGGCAAATAGGACACTGGGATTTATTAATCAAAATGTTAGTAATAAGACACCTGATGTTGTTCTTCAGCTATATCTTGCTCTAGTTAGGCCCCATTTAGATTATGCAGTTCAGTTTGGTCACTGTACTACAGAATAGATATAAATTCACTAGAACACGTCCAGCGTTGGTTGAGAAAGTTAATCTCCCAAATTAGAAACCCGTCATATGAAGAAAGATTGACAAAGCTTAAAATTCATTCTCTAGAAGGCCGAAGAATTAGGGGTGACATGATAGAGGTGTACAAGTGGATGAATGGACAACAAAGGGAATATCAATAGGGTATTAAAAGTAGCAACTCAAGACAACACGAAACAATAGGTATAAATTGGATAAGTTTAGATTTAGGAAAGACCTAGGAAATACTGGTTCGGTAACAGGGTTGTTGATTTGTGGAACCAATTACCGTGTAACATAGAAGTAGGATCCCTTGATTGTTTCAAGCGTAGGTTAAACATATATATGAATGAGATTGGGTGGATATAAATAGGAGCTGCCTCGTATGGCCCAATAGACATTCTGCAGTTACTTCCATTCTTATGTTCTTAAAAGTAATTACAGGGAAAATAGGAACACTGGTATTCAATTTTCTAATAAACAGAACCCAGGGTGTAATAGTCAAGAAAGTAAAATCCAGATCATCCATGGTGCAGAGCTGTCCCCCAGGGTACTGTGCTTGCTCCAGAACTTTCTCTCATACTTATATCGAACACAGACAAAAACACAAACTATAGTACTGTATCAGTCTTTGCAGATGACACTAGGATTTTCATGAGAATAAGACAATATAGAGGACACAGCAAACCTCCAATCTCATATAACTCAGGTCTTTCAATGGGCCACAGAAAATAATATGATGCACAAAGAAATCACATTAACATGATGTATCAATGAGATAATCAGTAAGAACCATGAGGAGGATTCAAACCTACAGTATGCTCTGGGTACTCCCAGAAACGCTCTATACCACTACACCACGACATGGTCAAAAGCATTGCAACCTGGGATTCAACTGCATCCTCTAGGATTCCCGAGACTTCCACTGAAGCCTAACCAGGGTTTCACACAATGCACTCTGATTCATGGTCCGGTAGTTTTACCTCCCAATGCTTCTTGTCAAATGCATAAGAAATCACATTAACGGGATGTATCAATGAGAAAATCAGAAGGAGCCATGAGGAGGATTCAAACCTATGAGCATATTGTGGTGTAGTGGTCAAGTGTGCCTGGAAGTACCCAGCACATAGATTCAAATACTCTTCATGGCTACTTCTGATTTTCTCCTAAAATAATATGATGCTAAATGAGGACAAGTTCCAGTTCCTGTGCTGTGGCAAAAACGAAAATATAAAAATAGAAACTACAAAATAAAATGCAGTCAAATGATACTATAGAATGAAAGAACAATGTAAAAGATCTGGGAGTAATTCAGTTGAAAGAGTTTACTTTTAAAGAACACAATAAAGTAGCTGTAACAACTGCAAGAAAAATGACAGGTTGGATAACAAGGACCTTTCAAACAAGAGATGCCATACCAATGATGATACTTTTCAAGACACTAATGCTCTCTAGGGTGGAATACTGCATACAATAACAGCCTCATTCAAAGGTGGAGATATTGCTGACCTGAATAGCATGAAAAGATCCTTCACTGCTAAAATTCACTCTATAAAACATCTAAATTGTTGGGACCGACTAAATCCTTAAGTCTGTATTCTCAAGTGCACAGGCAATAGAGCTACATCAAAATCTACACTTGGAAAATATTAGAGGGACTGGTTCCATATCTGCACACAGAAATAACCTCACACGAGACCAGGATATATAAGGTATATAACTCTCTCTCTTCATATAAGACGCATAACTAGCCGACCCCCTCACAGTGTTCAAGAGAGAACTCGATAAACACCTTCAAAGGATACCTGATCAACCAGGCTGTAATTCATACATCAGACTGCAAACAGCTGCAACCAACAGCATGGTTGACTAGACCACTAACCATGAGGCCTGGTCAGAGACTGGGTAGCAGGGACATTGATCCTCGAACCATCACTAGGTAACCCGTTTTTTTTGACCTATGTGCAAGAATGTTGCCAGCAGGAGAGTCGTGGGTTTCCCATTAGTTCATGCACAGACTAAGTGTACTATACCCTCTACTCTTAAAGAGTTATGACCGTGTGACAGCATTCATTATGCTATAATACCATACTTATACTTATTATTGGTACCCTATATTCATACTTGAACAATTTTAACAACAATAATGAAACACTAGTTACATATTCTCTTTTAATCATCAAGCACATAACAGATAGTATCTTTTATATAGCTTTCAACACATTTGCAATTCACATATTCAGACCTGAGTAACATATATCTGCACTGAACATATCTACAAGTAGCTTACCTCATCTCAAATACATATCACCTTAAAAAACCCATATAGTCTAATAGACTATACATTAAAAATGTAATATGAACTGTTAACTTTCAAATTGTTATATAAGCCAATATAGTTTAAAAAGCAAGTTAAAAATTCACTTTAGAGAAATATACAATTCAGTGAATTATTAGATGCACTGTTAAGAATTTTCACAGCATATATGTTCCATGCGCATATAAATTTTAAAATATTTAAAAACAACTCGATTAATATAACTCAAACAAAAATAAAATTTACAAGTTGCATAACATTGTTCTCCAAAATGATAAAGAGACAGCAACACTGCCATTGAGAGAGGGGGAACTACCACTGGCCGCTCTCATTGAAGAATGGCAACGTTATGTCCTTCGGTCTCATCGAGGAACATCACAGAGAAAATGTCGTTGAAAAACTCGGGATAATATTCGCAGGCTCGTTTACAATCAGAATTAAAGTTGACCTCTAGCAGCTTTGGGCACATGATTTCTTTATCTGCAAATAGTGCAAAGAAGATTTTAATTATGGAAATGCAAATACATTTATTTTCCAATTTATTTGTCCGTGTATTAATCGTGTAATTTTATAAAAACTGTGCAACAAAACATTTGTTTAACCATTATTCTGCTTCAATCGCTTTATGCAATTTTCTCCTGCATGCAAATTGCCATAAGTGATTCATCCTTATGGGTTTTCAATACGTTTTCCTATATGCACATGGATGTAGTACTTCTGTATAGCTTACCATCTTAAGGATTAAGTGCTCATTGTTCTTGTAAGTCTTTAGAAGTGTTCCTAAACAATGAAATACTGGTTTATAATGCATGTGTCCTTCAATTAGGTTTAACCTGTGTTCAAAATTTTGATTAGTAATTATGGAGGTTCTACGTCTTAAGTAAAACTATAATGTGGATATGACAAGATAAACGTACTATTCTATAATGGTGGGCAGGTGATTTACCATTTAACAAATCTTTTACCACACAAAATAATTTGTGTTATGCAATTCCATATTCCAATTGAAAATATACATTACCAGATTATATTTAATACAAATCAATAAAAAATGAAATATTATTAAACTCACCTTTGTTTGCCCATGCCACCATTATATCAAACCCATAAAATCCTTTACACTGGGAATTATGAGGAATGCCTCTTGGGTAATCCAGAGACGTTGCAGCCTTGAACACCTTGTAGAAAAATAACACAAAATTAGCATTATGAGTAACACACATTATCAAGAGTTAAGAGTTGAAGAAATGGACATTCATGGTGTTTGGAGTTAACAAATTTAATGACTAGGCCAAATGTCAGTAAACTGAAAGACTGTTGAGAGTTTATTGAGCTATTTTGGTCACAGTTAATGAGGTAGAGGATAGTGGGAAGAAGAATATATTAGTGTCAATGATAAGGTAAGACAGAGAAGAGGAAGACCAAGAAGATGGCCTCACAGGGCAAGAGTGAGACAGCAGGGACAGTGTGAATAAAATGAATATTTAATAAACAGAACTTTATGAGAACTGCCACATGTTTGCTCCAAAAGAGTAGAGAATCTTCTGGCTCAAGGACAAATCTATGCTTAGTCAGGGCATCATGATGACATTCTCAATTAGTATGCCTGGAGCATACCTGGAGAGGGTTCTGGGAGTTCTTCTACTCCCCGAGCCCGGCCTGAGGCCAGGCTCGACTTATGATAAATGCAACACAAATCTTTATAACCTGTCTCTTTTATATGATAACAATGCTAGCATGACACTGAAGAATACCTGTACTACAAAGGTCTTTCAAATCTAAAGCCAATAAGTGCTCTTGCAAACTGTCAGATGACCCATGCAAATACAAAACCTGATCACCACCAAATAGAGGTACTGTACCTGACATAAACTAGGGGTCCTAACTTCAACTACCTCATAAATCTAACCAACTGGCTTCCATGCTGGTTACCGGCATGGAAGAGACTGCAATTCAGTTAAGTGATGATGTTTATTCTAACATTCGTTGTGCAGGATACATGTGCTATAAGTGAACTTTTACTGTGTATGTGTGTCTTCAAGTTGTTTGTGTTTCTAATTACTGTACTTATTTGACTGATTTATCAGTTCTCCACTGTTTTAGTTTGGTTTGTGTAGTTACTGCAATGGATATTCTCCTCTCAAGTTTTCCACGACATTAGCAGTTTCTTGATACAGTACTATATTTGTGCTTTTGCACAAAGTTCAGATCAAAAAGTCATCCATGCCTAGTGGATTTCCCTGTTTTGGTTACATACCACAGTGGAATTAATGTTGTTTTTCCTTATTTACCATCTGGTCACTGGCTTCCCTCACACACCCTTGTTCATAGTTGACAAGGTTCTTGCCCTGTAATCAGGTTCCCTTATTTTGATTTTGTCTCTGGGGTCTATCTATGTCTATCTCCAAAGGATACCTGATCAACCAGGCTGTGACTCATACGTCAGGCTGCGAGCAGCCACGTCTAACAGCCTGTTTGATCAGTCCAGCAACCAGGAGGCCTGGTCGACGACCGGGCCGCGGGGACACTAAGCCCCGGAAGCACCTCAAGGTAGCCAAGGTAGGGGTGGAAGACCTGGGACCTGTTCATGAATCCTGCCAAATGTTTTGCTACCGGTTACTTGTTCACTCAACCCATCCTCCTAATAGTGTGTTACATTTTGACGCACAGTCGACCTAAGGCCAAAAATTGTCGCACTAGAAAATGGTAGCGGCTCATGAAATTGACATACTGTCCCATTTTCTGTTTTGGGTCCTCTGGTAGGTTAGGATTGAGCTCTTTAGTATAATAGTTTCTTGATATTGGAATAACTTAGGACGGGCTGGTTCACTATGGCACTACAGTGCAGTGATTGTTAAAACTCTACTCAGTGTGGATGGGAGGATTACTTTAATCAGGATTTTAATTCAGGTCATAGTTGATGCCAGTGTGAAAAGGTACCACAAATATGTTTGGTCAGGCTCTATGAGATTTGTTGCTATTTCTGTTCCATTTTAAGTCACCTTTGCCAATTATCACATAAGCACTACATAAATTAATAATCCTACTGGCTATGCAATACTAAACTCATTCTGCTGCTCATCTAATTTATATTTACACTCTAATTTCCTACATGCAGAACTTTCTTCTTAGTTTTTGAACAGGAAGATCCTGTGTAACAAATTTACTTAGTTTTTATGATAGAACCATTGAGATACTATAGGAAAGATGTGGTTGAGTTTACTGTCTGTCTGGGCCTAAAAAGGCTTTTGATAGAGTCCCACACAAGAGGCTGTTCTGGAAACTGGAACATGCATGGAATGGGAACTATGCTTCTGAAATGAACGCTGCTCATTCTCAGTTTGAGTCCACATCTGCTTTCTGACTGTTATCAGGTTCAAGATTCCTACAGACTGTAGAGAAATGGCTTATTTTCTTTGAAGAAATGACAGCTGATCGGTCAGTCCCAGGTTTTTAGAGTGGAAGGAAGCCCCCCCCCCATCTCTTTCTTGTTATGTCAGACACAGAGGACCCACCCCTTTCATCTTATGATTGCATTTTGTGCGATATAGAGGATTTAATTCATGTCTCACCCCTAAAGCATACCAACTTTACAAGAAGAGCTGGTAATAAAAGTCTTACCTGAAGGATCATGTTATATATCTTCTTTTCTGACATAATAAAAGTCTTACCTGAAGGATCATGTTATATATCTTCTTTTCTGACACCTCCCAAGGCTGCTCAGGATATTGGCTATTAAACTTGCTAATAAAATCATGGCAGTACATCTGTAACAAGAGATCCAGGATTAAAATATTTTGGTATAACTACAAACGTCTTAAATTTCCTGACAATGAATAACACTACAAGAAAACAGTTTCCCTTTGCATCATCGTACAGTATATGCAAAAGGTAATCTTGCACAGAGTTGCATTAATCACTTAACCGTGCCAACCGAGTATTCTCGGCCGGCGGGAAACTGCGCCAACCGAGAAAACTTTTTTTTATTTTTTGGTACCATTTCTAAATGTGCACGAGGTTGGCTGTGTACGAAATGGGACATTTAGGACCTCCAGTGAGAGGCAGTCATATTGGAAAAAATTCCCAGAATGCCCTAGGGCTGCTGACTGGGTTAGTACTGAATGAGCAACCATGGGTGGCGCATGCACCTCTGGCTCCCAAACACCTGTCCGACGCGGTGTTGAAAGATAACGCTCTGTTGGTGAAATTCAAACCTTATTGTTTGAAGAACATAAGGGTCATAATATTGGTGAAGTTAGGTGCAATAAGGACCTAACACAAAGGTCGGATGCAAGTGATACAGCACCTATGAGGACGATCCAGCGAGCATATCCAGTTGTAGCTCTGAGCGTCACCCTTGCAATCCTATGCTATCTCCAATTTATTTAGATGATACATAGATGAATCGTTTTCTGCATTCAGTGATGATGCATCTGATACAAGTAGCATAGATGAACAGTGTTAGCGGCTTCCATGGTGGTGTTTTCCATAGATATTTTCAAGAATACCTGAATCTCTTCCACTCTTTGAGGCTAGCTGAATCTCTATCTGACTGATGGACACTCTTTGAGGCAAGCTGAATCTCTTCCTGTGTGGGACCATACAAAGTGATCTTTTCAAGACTACCTTACAAATTGATCTTTTCCTATAATCTTTTCAATATTACCTTATGCTTTACAAGCTTGGCTACATACAACCTACAAGTACTAAAGCCAAGGGTGTACGTGAGTGCGTTATTTGCAAGCACACAGAATGAAGAAACAGGAAGCAAAAATTTATCTGTACCTGGTGCACTGAGAGCGAAGTCGCGCTGTGTACTATAGACTACTTCGTTGATTATTATTCACTTCTGAAGTACTGAGCGTGTAATGCAGTGTGTTACTGTGTAAAAAGTGTGTGAAACTGTACATATTTTAATTTTAGTGAATTTTTAAGAGGTAATATTGCGACAATAAACATTTATTGTGTGTATACACAATAAACTGTATACATGTATACAGTACATTACTGACACATGTACTGTATCACAGTTCCATGGAACATTATGAACGTTCCACTGTATACATACTGTAAACGTTCCACTGTATACATACTGTAAAGGACACAAATATGCATCATATACGATAAAAAACAAATAATACCCCATTGGAAATAAATAAAACAAATAATTGAAAATATATTTGTGGCAACACCCGGTGCTTGAATGGCCCGTGTGACCGTGTCTGGGCGATTCACGCACGGGTGACCAGGCCCTGATGACGTCACAGCTCACCTTGTCCACATCCCAACAGTCAAAGTAAGTGGAATTTGGTATTTATTTTTACATAGACATGTTCAGGGAAGGCAATTTATCATTTTACGAAGAAAAAAAAATTTTTGGGAACACTTTATTTCATGCGCACTGGGGGAATATCACAATAAACTCCGCGCAGCACGGTGGTTAAAGGTGCTATAAATTGCAGCATTTTGAGAATTTGTAAAGTAAAATTTTAATGACTATTCCTATTTGAAAACATGAATACAATTTATCTTAAACAAAATAGATAAATATACATTTTGTGTGCACTGTGTGATGAGTGTGTGTTTACACTTGACAGAAATATTGCATACAGCTAATCGCCACACAAAATGCCACTTTTTGACAACCAGAGTGCAACTCCAGACCCACAACCAGAGCCCAATTCCATAATCTCCTGAGACTGATGGATGCCTTCTACTACTACTATTGGTCTCTAGTTGCTATCTGCCAATACCTCCTGAACTTGAATTGCCAAATAATTTTTTTTTAATTAGTTTTATGAACCTTTTATGTTGTGTGCACCACGATATAGGGATTTTGATAAGCTGAGATGTTTAACCACCGTTAACTGCACTGCCTTAACACTTTCGCCCGGGCATGACGCAGCATTGCCTCATCCGTTTACTGTCGGTAATACCGGGGATTAATCCACTTTAAATAATCGCCAAAAATCAGGTTTTTATCCGATTTTTTTTGGGACTGGTTTTAAAATGTGCGCCGATGTCTTCCCATTTTCTTTGTTGAGCCTCGTGGCCCTCAGGTGGCTTGGCACACGCCATGGGCCCATTGTTTTCGCTCCACTGTTGTGACCAATGTCACCTCCCCTCGCATCTCAAACGTGTGAACATTTCGGCTATTTTCCGTGGCTATATTTCTTACTGCGGCTTTAGAAACTATCTACGCTTACTCCATGATGGATAGTGATCATGCCCTTCCAGGAAGAAAATTGTGAAAGAAAGGCTTGAAAAGGGAGGGAATTGGGAGTGTAGCTGCAAGGCGTCTGAGCGCTCACTTGCGGCTAACGCGTGGCCCGTCTTCAACTCGTCGGCGGTTGGAGCGTGACCAGGTTTTTTATTTTATATGCTAATGTTCCTCTAGAGAATTCTATTGCCAACCCATTGAGACCAAAATGAAAGACCTAGGACAAAAATTGAGGTGACCAGAGTGAAAATAGTGAAAACATTTTATCGCGTTTGCGTGCTTCTGGGTAACTCGTTCGCACTTTCTCTGTTTGCTGCGGGTAATTACCCGGGCTTTTGGAGTTTATATGCATTTAGTGCTGTAGAGAATTCTATTGCGAACACAATGATACCAAATTTAATCTCGTAGAACGAGAATTAAGGTGACAAAGTTGAAGACAGTATACACTTTTCAGAATTTACGCGCTCCTGTGACACCCTGGGTCCCATATCGCACAGTTGAGGGGTGGCGCGTGGGGTACACCAAAGTGTTAAAAATGACACCCCTTTGGTGCGCCAAAAATAAATTCTTTCGAAAAAATTATTTTTCCTTCCAAAAATGTTAAATACCTTCCCCTAATCACATATATGTTGAGAATATTGCATAAATGTACTCACTTTGGTTGCAGTGGTTTCTGGCATGTGACGTCACGGCTTGGTGGTCGCCTGTGCCGTAGACTCCCAGAGACATTCGCGCGCAGATTTAACAAGCGTGAGTTGCCACAAATATTTTTATGTTAATTTTTTCTGCACAATTACAAATACATTTCTTTTGTTTTTCTAGCTAATCCTATGTATATTGAACAGGTTTACAATATTCAGGCAGTAGAACATCTGTATTGTTCAGAGAAACTATGTTACATGTATCACAAATGTGTCCACAAACATTGTTCATATTTTCTACATTGCATATTCAATTATTTACATTTACAACTTATTTACATACTGTACACTATCACAGACTATTTACAACACTATCAACAAACTTCGAACTGATAGAGTGTGTGACAATCCCTGAAGTGGTCAACGGGGCACACGGCAACTTTTCACTCCACGCACCAAGTGCAGATGGATCTTCACTTCTGTTCCCTACATTGCGTGCTCTTGCATACAACGCAGGAACGCTTACCCTTTTCATGTGTGCCTGTGCTTGGCATATAACCAAGCTTGTGTACAGCCTAATATTCTTTACAGCTGAGTGTCAGGAACTGCACGAGGCATTGTTACTGGCACCCCATGTGGGCGCACCCCATACTTCACCAGTAGTTGTGATACTAGAGCACCACTGAATGTACGGATTGGTGATCTCTTGCCAGATTTCACGAGATGCGTGTTGAAACAGTTCAAAACTGCAACGTCAACGAGGTGGAAAAATAATGTCTTGGTCCACTTCACAGATTTTTGCACGCACTTGACGACACCAACCATCATGTCACATTTATCTACTACTGTATTGGCAACCTTGTTGCAAAGTTCATTTTGCCACTGTCCAACATGGCACCGGTGTGAATAGTTGTCAACATATTCACCTCGTGTCTGTCCCTCCAGCGCACAGATAACATCTTATCACACTTTCTCAGCTGGCATTCACCCACTGCAATACCAATGCCAAACACTGGCATTTCCCTCCTGTGTATCTTGACAGTGCCATATAAGCCAGTGTTGTGGTCAACGAGGAATGTTAGATCGTCCAAAATTTCATGTTTTGAGCTGTTGAAACACTACAAATATCATGCCAAAAAGTGAAACAGAAACTATACAACAATAATCAAACCCTGCCATAGGCCTATATAAATATGATATATGCTATCTTAGGCCTAGGAAAGTTTAGGTTGGGTTATTGCCTTAATTCTCGCACTCCTTTACAAATTTCGCACCCTGTACAAAACGTGGGGTTCTTGAGCGCAACCGTTCATTTTTGGATGACAGGGAGGAAAATTAAGGTTATATTCCAAACATCTCAGTCTCTCTTCCCCCCCCCCCATTTATAACAGTAAAACACTTGTTGTAAATGAAAATTTACATTAATGTAAATTTATTTACATTAATTTACAACACTTGGTGTATTTGAAAATTAAGATACTGTACCAGTATTATTATTCTTTCCACTTTCTGGCCAAAATACAGCACATAATTAAAGCCAAAATTCTTGGGACAGAAATGATACAAGAATGTCACCTGAAAGTCCATAAAGCACAAGATGGTGCGTGTGGGAACCAGTACACACCGGACCCGGTGGCCGAGTGGACAGCACGCTGGACACGTGATCCTGTGGTCCCGGGTTCGATCCCGGGCGCTGGCGAGAAATGATGGGCAGTTTCTTTCACCCTATGCCCCTGTTACCTAGCAGTAAATAGGTACCTGGAAGTTAGTCAGCTGTCACGGGCTGCTTCCTGGGGGTGTGTGTGTGTGGTGTGGAAAAAAAAATAGTAGTAGTAGAAACAGCTGATTGACAGTTGAGAGGCGGGCCGAAAGAGCAGAGCTCAACCCCCGCAAGCACAACTAGGTGAATACACACACACACACCAGAGAATACGATGGGCATCTTCTGAATGGTAGTCAAGAGGTTGAGAAACATCTCCAGATCACCCAAAGATCCCACACTAATTTGTATTAACCACTGATAAGGTCAATGTCACCGGCACATTTTAACACTACATAAAAAGTGCTTACCTACAAGAACAAAGGTCAAGTTTCCCAATAAAACCTCCATTTCCCAATAAACAATAATGTTCCCCAGATAAACCAAGAGTATACAATTATTTTAAACCAGCTTTATAACATGTAATTATGATATTTTAAACTCACCTGAAGTAGAAATGAATCATTATAGTTGTTTACAGTAAAATGTTTCTCGCTACTGTCGAACTCCGTCAGATCAAAAGGCTTGTTAGCAAATCGAATCCAGAAGCGTTTGTACACAGCCACCTGCACCAGAATACAAAATGTTAGTACAAGTTGCTGCCTTCTACTGTGCAGGATATGACAGTACTGTATACTGCAATATTGTTTAATAACTTACAGGAAAAGCATAAGTACTTTAACTATTTTCTCATTTCACTGTGGCTGTTCTTGCCTTCTGAGGTCACATGGTCAGTGACACTCTGCATATATGAGAAATACATAAAGGTTGATAGGAGTTTTTTTTTTTAATATACTGTACTAATATACTTCTGACTCCTGTTAGCAGGCTGTCAGAAGTAGAGCTCATAGAAAGCCTTACCCCTACTAGTTTTCTCTGGAATACAACCTGCCAATTGTTTAACAACCAGGTACCCAATCACTGGTGGGTGAACCGAGGTGTACAGTTAAGGATTGGTACCTAGACAATCCTCCCCAGCCAGGATACAAACCTAGTCCAAATCGCTTGTGAAGCGCAGAGTGGGCGTGTTACCACTGCACCATGGGGAGTCTAATTATAGTTATTAATTAATGAAATCTAAGTAGATAAAACAAGCAACTTTCTTCCAAAACAAACAAATTGTCAATGAAGCCCTGAGAAGAATCATTAATTTTCCAAGACAACTTATCAATGAAACCCTGGGTAAGATCATTCATGCTCAGAGACAATACAAACTAATACAGTACAGTGGAACCTTGATTCAACAAACCTCGATTCAGCAAAGCTTGCACTTTCCAAGCCAAATTTACTTACCAGATTCAACAGAGAAGAGTTCACTTAAGCAAGAAATGTGTGGATTTGCTTAGGATGTTGGGACTGAGTCCACGAATGGGAACAGCATTACAAGAAATAGTTTGGGCCTTGGGAAAGCTATTGACGATATTTAAAACCAAATTCTATGGTCTGTTTTTATTTTGAGTTGGCAAGGCTTCGGTCACTCAGGTATGGCCTTGCTACCTTTTGGAAATGAGTTTTGAGGCTGGGGATGTGAGAAATAAGCTAGATGTGGTTAAATTTGTTTCCAGACATGTTTATTTAGTAGTTGTCTATTATATTATAATTTGAAATTAAAATTTTGCTCAATGAAATTAACCCAAAGAGCATGAGAAATGTTTCCTGGAGGTATCTTCGGTTGCAACAAATCCCTCACTGCAACTAATTGGGGTTAGTTCCAAACAATTTGCTGAATTGAGGTTGTACAATAATTTAATGCCTAATGTCATTAGTGTATGTCACTACGTATTAAATAATATCCATTTTGCAGCTACCTTTACATACCTTTAGAGGCTCCACACTGAGCAGCATCACAATATAACGAATGTCAAACTTGACACTTGCATCAATGTCTTCTCGATGAAATAAAACTGGGGTCGTTATGTACTTCTGGGCGATCTGAAAGATAATACAATCCTAGTATTCCTCCACCCATTTTGATTAATAACTAAAGTAACCCCTTTATTAACAGTGTATATTAGTAATGCCAAAGCACAAAGGAATCATTTCATTTTTCTGCATCTTTCCAACAAAATGGAAGAGCATATCCAACCTCCAAACAACTGATAATTAACCCCAAAATATCTCTGACATGCAGTTAAAGCCGACCAATGTTTACACAATCTTACAAACTTCAACAACGTTCATCAGGCATTAAAATTCTTTATCAGGCAATCCTTATACCACAACCTCTCCTCTCACTTAGTATATCTTTTATTTTTTACAATACTGACCAATCCATTAAAAATATAATGTCTACAGTACGTAAGTAAGTAAACAATGCACCATAACACTACTGAAATTTTCTATGCATTGGCCTCGATAGGTTAGGTGGGTTGCTTGGGCTCGTACGTTTCTGGTTAGGTAAAAGAGCTGCATTTTATATAAGTAGCAAATCGAGAGAATGGACAATACACCGCCAATATAACTTAAATTCTCATGCAGAAAATTATTCCACTTTACACAATAGAAAAATGCTTTTCATCAAGCCATCCAATACCAGGCATTTGGAACCTCCTTCAAACAGATGAAAAAACTTGGTTTACATTCCCTAGAACCATAGAGTAAGGGAGATATGATTGAAGTAAACAAATGCGTGAAAGGGGTTTAACATGAGGGATATTAATAGGATTTAACACCATTAATCCCAGTTAGAAAACTAAAAATGGGTTAAAATTACATAAGATTTAGAAAACAAATAAGCAAACACTGGTGTGGAAATATGGGTGCAGAACTGTGGGAAAGTTACAAAGTAACATTACAGCAACAAATGCACTGTGAGATTTCAAGCATAGATTGCACATATACAGGAATATACGAAGACTGCAGAGATTATTCACATGTTCTATATGTTCATTCTGTGCTGTTTTATGATCCTTCAATTTGTACCTTGTGTCAAAATTTGACTTGGCTTCATTATTCTTTATTCCAACATTAACTTGATATTTCTAAAGAGGCTTCTTAATGTGGCTTTATTATCTACAATTTTTTGTTTTTTCTATTTTCTCATAATCTGCATTATCATTAACCCTCGTGTTGCTCAGGGCTAATTAGCATTTGTCACCCACAGGTGCATACCCCCCCCCCAAAAAAAAAAAAAAAAATTTTTCTTCTAAACCTGTTAATTTGTGTTCTCTGATCATGGGAAAAATAATAAAAAAAGCGTAAGTGGCATATATTGCCCACTATAGGGCGAGAAATGTGAAAGTGTGTAGTGTGATATATTTATAAAATAAAATGAGCGAATCATTGCTGTACTCAAAAATATGGTGTGCATATTGTTGATTCAATTATTATGTTCATCAAACAGTGAACAAATACTTTGTCAGTTATTACACTATATACACAGGTTATATATAAGTATCTGTATGTTTTGTTCACCATAACGAACCACTAAGTCATTATATTATGAGTCATAAAGCAACGAGGAGTGACCGCCACACACCACCCAGCCACTCGCTGTCACTCACTCCAACACCTCACTCGCCCACATTCTCCACCCACCATACTGTTTTTGCTTTTATTCACTGTATACAGACATTATATATAAGTATCTACATTCGTGTTCACCATAACGAACCACTAAGTTGGTATGCTAAGTGACAGTGGCAGTAGCAGCCAGTGGTAGCCTGCCACTGGCTGCCACTCCCTCCCTCCCTCACCTCACCTGACTCACCACCATTCTCCTCCCACCATACTGTTTTTGCTTTTATATACAGACGTTATATATAAGTATCTGCATGTTTTGTTTACCATAGCGAACAACTAAGCTGGTATAGTGAGTCCAGAGAGTAAAAGGTGGTCACACAGAGTCAGCAGACAACGCTACCTCCCTCCCCACCAAGATTACTCCTCCCACTACAGCGCTAATTATCACAACAATCTTGCTATTATCAGAATCCTGATCATTTTTATCACAGTCAGGGGTCTTCTGTAATAATATCATCATCATGTATATTATGGCATTTTTAGGCGATGCTGTGGTCACAAGCTGAACAGCAGTGCTGTGAGCTCATGCTGCATGCATCAGGCTTGGTAGCTCACTCAATACTGAGGCCCTCACACCCGGGAATTTGGCCCACGATTTTTTTTTTTTTAAATGGTGTCTGTTTACAAGAGCCCTGATGAAGGCGAGGTGAACCCCGTATATCTGCGGGCCATTTAAATCTCCAATACATCATATGATGGGATGCGCAATTTATAGCAAGTCACTCAACCCATCATATGATGTGTTGCGCAACTTGAGAGTTAACCAAGAATGGAACTTTCCTTTATGTTGCAAACAGTAAGTCACAATAACGTGGATGAAAATTACACCCCTCAATCCACACACATACTTCAGCCCTTTGTACATCACCTGTATAAGCTCCTTGTTATTTTATCACCACTACAAACCTAGGAGAAAAGAGAGCACCTGATCCAACGACCAGGACGGCTCAGGCGGAGTATGAGCAAGCCGGAGGGAAACAAAGCCCACGAAAGGTTGCAAAAGGTTGACTGAGCTACGACATGGTAAAAGGAGTTGAAACCCAATTTCTACTGAACTTACTGGATCCTGCAGCCTCTCCAAGGCACAAACCAGGGTTTTACACAACTCCCCCCATGCACTCGAGCTATGTCAATAGGCCGTTCTCCCTCTTCGCCCTTACTTCATTACACACAGAAATCACAATTGTGTGATGCATCAAATGAACAAATCCACAAGGGCAGTGATGAGGATTCGAACCTGCGTCCAAGAGCATCCCAAACATTGCCGTAATCAACTGAGCTACAACATGGTAAAAGAAGTTGAAACCCTCCAAGTTATCAAAACAGTCCTCCAAGATATCAAAACAGTCCTCCAAGCTTTCAAAACAGCCCTCCAAGCTATCAAAACAGTCCTCCAAGCTTTCAAAACAGCCTTCCAAGCCATCAAAACAGTCCTCCAAGCTATCAAAACAGTCCTCCAAGCTATCAAAACAGCCCTCCAAGCCATCAAAACAGCCCTCCAAGCTATCAAAAGTCCTCCAAGCTATCAAAACAGTCCTCCAAGCTATCAAAACAGCCCTCCAAGCCATCAAAACAGCCCTCCAAGCTATCAAAACAGCCCTCCAAGCTATCAAAACAGTCCTCCAAGCTTTCAAAACAGCCCTCCAAGCCATCAAAACAGTCCTCCAAGCTATCAAAACAGCCCTCCAAGCTATCAAAACAGCCCTCCAAGCTATCAAAACAGTCCTCCAAGCTATCAAAACAGCCCTCCAAGCCATCAAAACAGCCCTCCAAGCTATCAAAAGTCCTCCAAGCTATCAAAACAGCCCTCCAAGCCATCAAAACAGCCCTCCAAGCTATCAAAAGTCCTCCAAGCTATCAAAACAGTCCTCCAAGCTATCAAAACAGCCCTCCAAGCCATCAAAACAGCCCTCCAAGCTATCAAAACAGCCCTCCAAGCTATCAAAACAGTCCTCCAAGCTTTCAAAACAGCCCTCCAAGCCATCAAAACAGTCCTCCAAGCTATCAAAACAGTCCTCCAAGCTATCAAAACAGCCCTCCAAGCTATCAAAACAGCCCTCCAAGCTATCAAAACAGTCCTCCAAGCTATCAAAACAGCCCTCCAAGCTATCAAAAGTCCTCCAAGCTTTCAAAACAGCCCTCCAAGCCATCAAAACAGTCCTCCAAGCTATCAAAACAGTCCTCCAAGCTTTCAAAACAGCCCTCCAAGCTATCAAAACAGTCCTCCAAGCTATCAAAACAGTCCTCCAAGCTATCAAAACAGCCCTCCAAGCCATCAAAACAGCCCTCCAAGCTATCAAAACAGTCCTCCAAGCTATCAAAACAGCCCTCCAAGCCATCAAAACAGCCCTCCAAGCTATCAAAACAGTCCTCCAAGCTATCAAAACAGCCCTCCAAGCTATCAAAACAGTGTTCCGAGGCCAACAGAAGTACTGCTATAATGATGAACAAAAACTAATTAGGAGCAACTAAGAACTGTGGATTTAAAAAGAGACAGTTTAGTTAGCAAAGGTATATGTGCTCCAAACCTTTGTTCTAGCATTAAACTCAACACAAGAATGTTAAATGAAGTTTTAAAGGACAACCAACCTGTGGTGAGTCAATGCTAATAGTGCCAAGGAGTTTGTTAATTATAGAATTAATTACTGTATAGCAGATATTGACAGGAAAAGCCTAAAGGCAAAGCCATTATGATTGAGTAAAGTTCATTGTTGTTACATTATTACTGCATAACTTGCATTGTATTTTTATTAACTTGTGCTTCATCTTCAATCAGTATCCACTTGCAACCACATAAGCAATTAATTTAGTTGGACAATAAGGTTTCAGAAAAGATTTGTATATACATACTTTTGGGCCTGTGGAGGGGAGACGCATAATGTGATTCAGATTATTTGTAACGGTGTGATCCAGACCACGTGCTAGGTTCCATGGCTTTATGATCCAGTAGTTGTCTTCTCCACTGTGGGGGAGATGGAAATATTAATCTTGTAAAAATAATCTCTAACTCCTTTCTGTGTCACTTCATATTGCATACATATATACGTGCTAGAGGAAAGGCAATTCATAAATAATGTAATTTCCCTCGGGCCATTCATGTGAGGTGTTATCTTGAGGTTATCTTGAGATGATTTCGGGGCTTTAGTGTCCCCGCGGCCCGGTCCTCGACCAGGCCTCCACCCCCAGGAAGCAGCCCGTGACAGCTGACTAACACCCAGGTACCTATTTTACTGCTAGGTAACAGGGGCATAGGGTGAAAGAAACTCTGCCCATTGTTTCTCGCCGGCGCCTGGGATCGAACCCAGGACCACAGGATCACAAGTCCAGCGTGCTGTCCGCTCGGCCGACTGGCTCCCTTTGATTGTGATGGTGTGGTCATTTTGATTTCAATAAAGCCTTGACATTTGATGAATAAAATTGAACCTTAATAAGGGAGCATCATAATAAGGGAAGGAAAATTTAACAATTTCAAGTTTTGAAAAATCTCTTTCTGCAAAACATATTAGTAGCTGCCCGTGCCTATGACTGTGAGAGCGACACCACACACCACTCTCAAGATGGGTTTCATGTCTATGTGCACGAAGATCGGAGCACTGTGCACTGCAATGAGCCTGATGTGAGAGAATGGTCTCTCAAGATTCTCCCACAGTCTCTAACAATACATTTTTGTTTTTATAAGCATAATCAATCAATCCATATAATTTCACCCTAAATAATGTTAAAAAAAGCAATAAAGCTATTTTTGTTTTTGTTGCAATGCTAGATAACAACACATATGCTTTTGCTACACTTAAATTTCCTAGTGTGGAGGTTTTCCCAAATTGTTGTGGTTTATCCCTGATCCCGCACCTCCCTTGCTTTTGCAAGGTTCTAGTCCCGACTCCCGGTAGGCCTCAAGAGGTCTGGCGTGTTGGACTAAGGATTGTCGGATTGAGAGTTAAGCTCTGCGGGTTACAGAGAGATCCCCCCCAGAGAAAGTGTACTTTCTTTTATGAGCAAATTTTACATTTATGTGAAGTGAAAAACTCAGAAAGTACTGCACATACGTAAGGTATATTAATGAAGGGATCTAATAAGATGTGCTGAAACTACAATGCATGGAGTGCTGTGTGGGGCCCATCAATATACATACTGTATAATTGCAAGAGGAAGTGACACATCGTGAATATTTAGTTTTTTAGCACTTCCTGAAAATAGATTAATTTATATATGAAACATGTACCTAATTTTATCAAAACATAAAAACTCTATATTCCTTTTGCCATATAATATAAACAATATAAAAGAAATTTTGAGTCAAATGACACAAAAACATATACTACGAATACTACAAAAGAAAGTACTATTTGTAATTTATTCATAAACGAGAGAAAAAATTTCCTATAGATGCTACTACACAAGTTCCTTTAAAAGTTCCTAAACAAGTTCCTATACAAGATCCTACTCATCATTTAAGCACTGTACTTACTTCTTTTCTCTTCTCTGAAACAATGATACAAACTTGACTAGTTCCCTCTTGAGACAATATGTAAGAGGTAACCAAGATGGCCCAGCTGTATCACACTCCCCTTCTTCCTTACTGAGGTCAACAGCACGCCGACAGACAACACCCAGCAGGTCCTTGACGGTAATCAGGTGCTCACATGCATACTGGTTGATCCGACAAGAAGGTCTATCCCGAAGACTCCTGCAATTAATAAATGTATGAGATCCTAGTGCATTAACATGAAGGTAAATTTCAATTTTGTTTATAAAGAAGCTAAAAAAGCCAGTTACAAGAGAAATGTGAAATTAAGAACGGTGTATCATCTCTTCCCAGGGGTGAAGGGCTGAGCCAGGAGTACAATGACTCTGGATTTGTTGGAGGTCAACAACCACATTTCTGCCAAACATACCCCCAAGATAACCACAACTATGGTTCACCAGGTAGTATTGCTTCAATTATGGCTTATATCCCTGCATCTTTAGGATACTTCTTGCCATGTTCTAATTCATCCACATTTCATGGACTGGATGGGGGTTTCAAGTAGGTCACACCTATTACTACTTTTCAAGTACATAGATGAATAAGTTAAAACAATTCATCGAGAAATATAAACACGACGTGGATGCAAGAAACATGCCTTGTGGAATGTCACAGACAGGTGCACCAGGTGTGAGGTCAGCATCTTGGCTGAAAAAACTCAGAACTCTGCTTACGAGTATAAACATCATTACAAGTATAATGATGTTTGCCATGGACAAGGATAATCACTTAAATGTTTAAGTGATTATCTTTACCACTTAATTAAGTTGTTAAGTTTGTTGTCCCAAGCCCATCCTCAGCAAAAGAACAATGTCTCAACGTGCACAAGCAGCAGGGCTAGACGCACCTGCAGGTCTCGCAAGGAAGAATCAGTCCTGTACATTACCCGGAAGTAAAGTGACTGAAGCAGAGACAGTTCATAAAGGGTGAACCAGAACACCTCAGAACCGGTATCTCCAGTTGGCCTGGAAAAATACAAGCCAACTACTAAGTAAAGAAATCCTGCCCCCCACAGAGTGAACTACAAGGCTAGGGCACACACAATGTGGTGGCACGAAACACACACGTTAGGGAGTAACAAAACAATGGCTCTCTAGAGAACTAATGTTCCAGAAATAGGCAACGCCACTTAACTTTGTGGCAGACAGGCAAATCATGGTTAAGGTGTTTACCTGACAGCAATGACCATTTTCCTCTACCTTCAGGCATCTAATTTTCTTCAAGCAGTTGCTTTTGTTGGGCTTAGGTTTTCTGGTGTAGATTTATCTCATTTTGTTTGAAATCTGATCTCCAAGCTCCCCTTGTCTTGCAGCGTGTGTCGGCTCCAGGTAGGCAAGGGTGGGGCTGAGGCCTGGCGCATCTCCCTACGGCTTGGCTATACTGGTTTTTTTTCCAATGGATATAAAAAGAACAAGGAGTATTCTGATATAACACAAAGAACAAGGAGTATAATGTTATTGAGTCAGAGGTGTCAAAGCAATAGTCTCTCAAATATGTGGTACCAGGCTAAAGTGCTTATCTTGAAGAATTACCTTGAAGGTCACAGAGATGTGTGGCACAAAATGCTAAGGAGTTATCCAGATGAGTGGCAAAGATTTGTTTAGAGAATATACAGATGAATTACAAAAGTATACACAGTATATGCAATGTATGTCACTTCAAGCATTTCACAATATCAATAGTGAATTAACTAAGAAACTAACCTGAAGTCCTTAAAATGTGCAATAAACCATAAAATGTCAGCTTCTTCTTTGGAGTCCACGACAATAAAACGTTTATCAGTTAAATATTCACGAACAAATTCATATTCGGCATACACACGCAGTGGATAGTCAGATGGTGGATCGGTAGCCTCGGTGTCACAGTCTGGGAGAATTTCGTTCATACGGCCTGACTGAAGCATAGTTAGTTAATTAAGTATTATATTTACACCTGTAAATGACAATGACTGTACACTTACACACATGTAAACTTAATATCATTACTGGTAGGCTTAGGCTCAGTTACAAGTACAGTACCTCTCTGGTAGCTTGTACCATCTGAGAAGCAGATCTGACCACTTGGGGAGCAATTAAGATCATAAGATTAAATGAAACAGCAGAAGGCCTATCAGCCCGTACGAGACAGTTACTGTTTATAGTGAAGCAGCTCAGATAATTAAATTACTATGGAGCAACACTATTCAATTTCAAAAGCAATCAAACTCTTATTTATATGCAAATACTTTAAATTTCATTTAAATAAATTAAGGCATTCTCAAGATACAGAATGAAAATCTATTGAAAAAAGGACATAACTTATTAAGATAATTTATTACCTGAAAAAATTCTTCTGGAGGCTCTGTCTGTCGATGATCAACATAAGAGAGGTCAACAGGAAACCAAGGAAGCATCTGGGCATCACGGGTCACTGAATCAACTGGCGGAGTTTCCACATAATTTCTAGTTACTTCCTCGCCCTCTTCTACATCCTGGGAAAAATAAAGTAGGCACTATTTACACTGGAAGAACATATATTTAAAAATATATACAATTTTTGACGTATAAGATGAACCTAATTTGCAAGGATATTTTGTGCAAAAAATATCAGATTATTTAATGTTTTATCATACTGTATATTTATTAAAAGTGATTTTCAAGCAGTTTTGTAGGGAAGAAAAACATTTGCAAAACAATATATTTTTGGTTGGTGGTGCACTAAAAACTTGTCCTATTCGATGGAACTATAGTATACGAAAGTGCACACTACGCCCGAACCTCAGGTTTCTAATTAAATTATGATATATTGAGTCTGTTCATCAGGTTACTAGAAACATTTACATTAATATCTTTGTCACAATGGCATGGGTTCTCTCAAGTCAAGCATGATGAGGACAATGGAAATATCATCTAATTATTTCACAGCTAATGCTTTCAAACTTCATATTGTATATTGTATTTGAAAGAATCTCCAAATAACTTGCTCTGAAATTAAATTGCAAACAATAGTTCTTCTATTCACCTGGAAGGAAGGTGATGTTTTATGCAAACAATAGTTTTTATATAACCATGGTAGCATACAGATGGTAGCCTCCTTGGTGTTTCAAGTTAAGCCAAACTTTGCAAGGACCTGCAAAATCTTCATCTGGGATTTCAGCATATTGAGTAGCAAGCCAAATTTATGGTAACTGAGAATATGCATTATTCTCAGTTATTCTCAGTATTCTCAGTGCTGCAGTAGGCACAACTGCAGCACAACACTCCTAACTTCTGCATGCCTTCACTTTAATAGACTTCACAGCAGAGAACTAAGTTCTGTGCTTTACCAAAAAAAAATGCAGTCATATAGGAGGAGTCTGCTACTAGAGGAGGAACCCAAACACTGCAGAGCAGGCATCTGGTCAACAAGAGGAAACTCAACTTGAATACAAAAGATAGGTAACTCCTCCACAGTTGGAGCTAATTACAAAGCTGGCCACACATAATATGGGTGACATGAAACATAGAGCAATGGGTCCAGAAGGAACTAGTGTTCCAGGATGGGCCCCATCAAAGGAATTGTGGCCCTCTATGCTGTTACCGGGAAAGTGAGAGAGTGGGGGCTGGTTGGAGCCACAGGCAAGCTGGCCTGCCACCTAATTGCAGTTGGATACATCACAATTAGCAGTCAGGCACATCTAATTTTTTAAAACCATTGTATTATTACACATGCTTTCTGATGCATTTTTTTTTTTAGGTTTTGGGTTGATCTCTCATCCCTAAATGTCCCTTGTCTTATCAGAAGAGCCAGATCCTGGGTGCATGTTCCTATTAGGCAAGGATTATGCCTCAAAGGCCTGCCCCTCCTAAAAAATTAATGTATAATATTTATTCTAGATACAGTACTTTTTAAGTTTCAGTACATTTTCAAGCATATTTCAAGAGTTTCTGGCATTTTGGGGGTTTTCTTCTGTGAACTGGCAAAGATGCTAGTTCTTTTTTTTTTTTTTTCCCTCCAATATATGGAGACTGATGACAGTGTCCAACCAATTGCTGCTGATTATTTTTATGGCTGCTGTTTATATTGATGAGGCTGTTGTTGACAACTGTGTTGAATTACTCACGTTGCTATAACGTGGTGCTGTTGATGCAGCTTAGTATTGCTGCCTTTTGTGCTACGTTGTTACTTGTTGCCATTACTAGGAGCAGGTACTTCTGCTGGCTTCTGTTATCGCTGCTAGCTGCTATTCATACTACAGTAATTTGATGCTAATTCTACCGTTTGATGCTATTGTTGCTAATAATTGCCAGTGTTTCTACTGACTGTCACTGCTGATCGACATACAAATGAGCAATACTAACATTTCTTACGACAATCTTCATAGTTTTAAAATTACATGTCAGTCAAACACCCCATTCTCCATTTAGTTTGTTGTCTTTAACACATGTTGCATATAATATCCTCGAATCAAAATCTGATAGGTCAGATTATGACTATGTAGCGTATAAAGCCAAATCTTACTCAAAGTAAGGTCTTACCTGAATAGGGAACAACAAAGAGTAGCAGCACTGGTGAGGGGTGTAAAAGAAAGGTATTACACGAAAATTGGGTTCACCACAGTGCTGAATCCGTGACCCAAATTCATCCATAATGTACCAAACTGGAAGACGTTCTTCTGCTGTTTTTCCAACTGAAATAAATATTATAAATTACCATTTTATTAACTGTACTGTACATTAGAAAAAATTAAGTGCTAAGTTTTGAAAAGAAAGAAAAGAATGGCAAAAGTATAAAATAGATAAGTATTTTCAGCATACAAGAAAATTTGTTTTCTGTATAACAATACGATTATTTTGATGCCAATTCTAAAAACTCCTTGTCCTTAAGAAAGCAGAGCAGACGATGAGTCACAGTAACGTGGCTGATGATATGACCAAACCACACATCAGAAAGTGAAGAAACACCAAAGTTTCGGTTCGTCCTGGACCCTTCTAAAGCTATTGTCTTCCCTAAGATATTTCAAAATCTAAAGAATACAGAATTTCTGACAGACATTTCAAAAGTCTTTTAGTCTAATTAACTTAGAATCTTTCATAGAGTACTTCATGACAGATCAACAACTACACCAGCAAACCAGTCACCACTTGCTTGAATGGTGGAGAATGAGTAATTCAAACAGTAGTTTTGTGAACATATAATTCAATCAAAGAAAATTCTGACATTACCCTGATTCTAATTAAGAATTTTGTAAAATGGCCTAAATATTGGATTAGACATTCAACATCATGGCACATGTGCTTGTCCCGAATGTCAGGCATCTAAATACAATACTGTACACAAACTTCCAAAATCTGGACATGAGGTGTACCAATGAACTGGTATCAGTATTGGTCGTATAGGCCTATTTTATCAGTACTGATATAATATCATTTGATACTTTGATACTTTTTTATATAGATGGGTATAAGAGATATACAGGTGAAAACAGGCTGCGCAGCACCCTATGTCCCTCCAGTGCAAAACTGCCCCTTACCCAAAGGCGAACATGGGAGACAGAACACCCGAGCACACAAAGAGCGGCTGAAAACCAAGCAGGAAACAGCTTAGCAGGGGCAGAACCCAAGGAACTTGTGGAAGATGGCCCCAAGCCCCAAGGGCAGTACTTACAGGGCACCTAGGGCAGGGAACCCTAGGCGCATGCAGCCCGAATACTGGAGACTCACTCCCGGCTCACGCACCACCTAGAAAACAGACACCACACTCTAGGAACAGTGTTGAAACAACTATTGGAGCCGGAGCACACAACCGGTGCCTATAGCATCAGCCGAAGAACTGATGGGTGGATAGCCGGCGTGAGAGGTCTGGGACTCTCCCTTCCCCCTCCTGGGGAGGGGGGAGCTGCACAGACAGCGGCGCGGTGACGTGTGACGTCATACTAGTTTGCTTGTTTTCTGTTGGGAGGTCTATCCACTAGTTCGGCTTTTGGTAGCAATTTTAACCAGAATAGGGGTTTGTTTTGGAATGCTTACCTTTCTGGATGCTTGACCCGGTCGATGGCAAACATAGAATGCTTCCAACCACACAGGGGTTTCTATAGGCCATTGCTCCCCTTGCCTCTCTGAGGGGGCCAGGATTTGGCCGTGGTCCCCGGTAGGCCCTAAAACTCCATACACATGACTGATGCCAAAGTCTGACATTAGCATATCAGCCTGGTAAAGCTCCGGGGAGCCTCCGGGTCTCACCCAGAAAATGGCGTTTCATTACATTCAACGCTGTTTTTTTTAACTGTTTTTCTTATATTTCAGTGATGGGAACATCTGGGGCCAGATTCACGAAGCAGTTACGCAAGTACTGTACTTACGAACGTGTACATCTTTCCTCAATCTTTGATGGCTTTGGTTACATTTATTAAACAGTTTACAAGCATGAAAACTTGCTAATCAACTGTTATTATTGTTATAAACAGCCTCCTGGTGCTTCGGAGCTCATTAACTCTTTAATATTTGTAAACAAAGCCGCCAAAGATCGAGAAAAGATGTACAGGTTCACAAGAGTTTGCGTAACTTCCTCGTGAATCTAACCCCAAATCATTTGATGTTCCCAATTTTCTGATAGGAACATCAGATCATTTGATCATCAGATGAGGGAGTGGGGAATGGTGGAAAGGACGAGGGGACGGGAGTGGGGGATGGAGGGGGGGGGGGCACAAGGAGACGGGGAGGACGAGGGGACAGGGGATTTGGGAATAGTGGGAACGAGGAGAAAGGGGAATGGAGAATGGTGGGAAGGACAAGAGGACACGGGAGTGGGGGATAGTGAGGAGGACGAAGGGACAGGGGAGTGAGGAATGGTTGGGAGGACGAGGAGACTGAGGAGGGGGGAAATGGTGGGGAGGACTGGGAGACAGGGAAAGGTTGCTGTGGCTCAGTAACGCGTGGCCGGGTACAGCTAGTATGCTATATAAATAAAGTAACTAAATGAAAGATTATCCTTAATAAAGGAAAGTAACTAAATGAACGATTATCCTTAGTAAAGGAAAGTAATTAACTGGACTCTGTTTAGATTCAACTAAATGTGGAGAGATTTCATGTTTCAACCTGACATTCCTTACTGCAGCATGGTGACTAGGAAGGATCTGGCAGAATATTGCCTCACAATAGAAAACATTAATTGGATTAATTCTACAAATTAGTAGGGTTAGTAATTACTATGGTTAATACAATAATGATGTATAAGTGTTGGATAATTTCCAACAACCCGAACCAAAAGAGCAAAAGCCTCTGCGCCGGAGGAGAGCTTGAAGCTCCCTGATCCGCCCCCCAGAGGCCAAAGCCAACAAGAACAAAGCTTTCTGGAAACAATCTTGGACCAAAGGGGCCATCACAAACCGAGGAGAAGAAAGAAAGGAGAGCACCTGGTCTTTGACCAGGTGTGACGCATGAGCAGGTCAGAGGTGGAAAAAGACATGAGAAGGCTTGTGAAACAGAGCCGAAGTGACATCCACCCCAAACGCTAGCTGGAGTGGCTCCGCCAGCGCCACACTATACAAGGAGTCAGTATTCGGCATAAGATGCCTGTTTTGAAAGAGCCAAGAAAGAAAAGTACACAAAACACACTCCAAGACCGAAGACAATCTATACAGGGAAAGGAAATGGTGCAAAGACCGTCAAGAGACTTCAATCTGTCGCCAAGAGGACTGCAGGTCCGACACAATGAGAGAAGCCATCTGGTCTCCTTACAGATGGTGATACACCTATGTGAGAAACTCTAGACGCAAAGTGCGGAAGAGTAGAGCGAACCAGCAAGGTGCCTCACTGGCCAGATCTGCTGAATGAGGCGGAGCCCTGGAAAATGCACCGGGTTTGGACACCAAGCAAGCAGTGCCTGAAACCAAGGCTTGGGCCAGCCACCATGGGGCCAGAAAGAGAACCTTCCTCCAATAGGACTCGAGTTGAGACAGAACCCGAAGCAACACCTGAGACGGAGGGAAGAGGTACAGATAACCTCACCTCAACCAGTCTTGCCGAAAAGCGTCTACCATGAAGGTTTCGCCATTGGGGAAGGCTGTCACATAGACTGAGAGACGCCTAGACCACGCCGATGCGAAGAGGTCCACCTCCGGGGACCCGAACATCTGGCAGAGCCAACTGAGGGAGTCAGCGTCGGCCGTCCATTCCGTGGACAGGGAATGAACCGTGACAGGCATTCCAGCAGGCGACCAACTGAGCGCGCTGCAGCAACCTAAACCTAGCTCATGCAACTCACGAGCCGCTTGACCCCTAACCTCAGCCGTAGCAGAATGGGTAAATTGGAGTGCGCACTGTGAATAAGTCTCGCAAGACTCCGGGTCAAAGGTGTTGTTGACTTAACAAGGGGCATACCTGAGGCAAAACAGGTGATCGTCACCCTGAGACGGGGGCAACGAACAACCCTCAAACTCGCACAAGGCGAGAAGAAACTCAGAAGACACATCCATCAGTCAACTAGGCCCTGACGGAGTTTTCCAGGCCCCATAGGGAAAAGTAATCCTATGGAAAGCCCAAGCACTGGTGCCGCCAAAACCGGTTATAACCCAGTATGTATCTGGGCAATCTGGCCCGTGAAGTAAGGAACCTCGAAGGCCCAGAGGAGGACTGCCCTACTGCACCTAGTTATCAGCAAATAAGGACCTTGGCAGCCTCCCAATGGGCAAAGCATACTAAAAGCGGGAAAGAGAACCCCCGAGGAAGCACCACAACCCAGGGGACCAGAAAGAGGCACGGCCACTGCGATAATGCAAGCTTGGCAGCACCGTGTGCCCCAACCAGCAATAAACCACTCCATACCTAGGGCCAAACAAAAGTACTGGGACCCAAGCTGACTCCAAGGGCGAAGCAGGTGGCCAAGCAGCCACTACTCCGAAGGGAATGGGGACGCGAAGAACTCAGAGAAGATGGCTCTGAACCCCAAGGGGTGTACTCACAGGGCATTTAGAGAAGGGTGCCCGAAGCACATGCAGCCCTTTGGTACGAACTCCTGGCCATCCCCAACGCACAGCAGGAACACCAGCAGGGTGAAGCCAATCAGGCAACCGAGACCAGAGCAGATTTCCATCCTGTTTAGCTTCAGCCGACAAACTGACAGTCTGGCTCGGTGGGCTGGAACCCCCCCTCTCCCTCTTGGGGGAGTTTCTAGCCTTTGTTTGGCCTCAGGTTGCAATATTTCTACCAGGAAAGGTCTGTTTTGAAGCACCTACTTTTCTGGGTGCTCAACCCCGGTTGATGGCAGACATGAATACTTTTATACATGTGAGTTTCATAGTCCATTGCTCCCTTTGCCTCTCTGAGGGGACCATGTTCTGGGGCTAGAGGTCCTTGGTAGGCATAACGACTCCATATGACTGAAAACTCGTACTAATATTAGCTAATATCAGTTCAATAGCTTCAGGGAGCCGACGGGGCTCACCCACAGAAAACTCTTGTTAGCAGGCATAGAAGTTCCACAACTTATCTCAAGCCCTACCAAATATTTCTTAGACCACAATCTGCCAATCACCTTATAACCAGGTTTCCAATTATTGCAGGATGAATATGGATGAACAATAAGGATCAGTGACAATAAGGATCAGTGACCAACTGACTCCCACGAGGGATGAGTTATGAAGAAAGACTGAAGAAATTAAACCTTATATCACTGGAATACAAACGAGATGGGTAAAGATTCGTTTCGGCATAAAATTGTCAGGGAATACTGAGAGGATAGACAAGAACAGAATACTGTATTTGTAATCGGTTATACATGAACAAGGAAATCACAGTTGGAAAATAAGTACTGTATCCACATGAGCCACTGAGACCTTTGAAAGAATTTTGTTAATGTTGTGGAGCTAAACATGTAGAAAGCTCTAGTAAAGTAGAGAAAACAGACTCCATCCACAGCATCACATTTGGACATGACAGCGCCCAATATGCTTGCGAACCTATACACCTTAGGTAATTACCAGCTGACTGAAACTCGACTCCATAAAGCACAATTGGGTGGGTATTGCTGCTCCAACCACACCTGCACCCCAAAACCAACTCAACCCATTCCTGCCCCCGTGAACCTAAATCCTCACAAGCCCCCTTTCCCATCCACTCTCGTGATATAGGCATTTCTAATCAACTATACAAACAAAACAAACTCAAAGAACCCATTCAAGACATTTCTGCAAAACATACTACATGCACACAGGATGTAGATAGCTACATCTACTACATGTAGATAGCTGGTGGCTGAGCGGACAGAACACTGGGCGCGTGATCCTGTGGTCCCGGGTTCGATCACGGGCGCCGGCGAGAAACAATGGGCAGAGTTTTTTTCCCCATGATGCCCCTGTTACCTAGCAGTAAATAGGTACCTGGGAGTTAGTCAGCTGTCACAGGCTGATTCCTTGGGGCGGAGGCCTGGTCAAGGACTGGGCCGCGGGGACACTAAGCCCCGAAATCATCTCAAGATAACCTCAAGCTGTAAAAAGAAGAATATTCCAGTATATAATAAATATGACCTCACTCACCAAGGCTATATGTTCCATTAAACTTCCACATATCTTGAAGAACCTTTTCTATAAACTGCTCTCGATCATTATCTTCACGTGGAATGTCCATGAGGGCCACCATTCTCTCCAGTAGACCAGGAACGTCCGTCAAATACTGCCTGGCTTCATTAGCTCTATACGTCCAAGCATGGTCGATAAGGAATATACTGGAAAAACAAAAACTAAATTCATTCATTTGTGAAAAACTGGCTAATTAAACAGATATACTATAAATATTGACTGATAAATTACAATATACAAACAATGAAAAATATCAAACAGGAACATATTAAATAATCAAATTAGGTAGACAACTAAGCAATACAAATTTTTGTTTTTATCACATTGAAATTATACATGTTTTCTACAAATCTATAGAAGTAAATATTACAAACTTTGTAACCTGCCTTAGCCACTTGTGTCAATACATACTATGTGGGTCCCATTTAAATCAACCTCCTTTCAAGTACATACCTATTCAATCCATACCTGAAGCCTTGTAAACTGACTGGCAACACTGCTAGCAGGCAGACCACTCCAATCATTCACAACCCTGTTTCCAAATCGGTACTTCTCTATAACCCTCCTAAAATGAAACTTCTCCAGTTTATACCCATTGTTTCGGGTTCTGTTTGGTTGTGACAGCTTCCAATCCCTGTTTAAATCCCAATGTTTATAACCCAAGCCTACCGTGAAAGTTACCATCATATCCCCACCTTGTCCCGCGTCACTCCAGTGTTTGCAGATCGAGATTGATCCGTGTTTGCCGTAAATGTCCCAATAGCAGATCACATTTTCCTGTATTTTCTCTCAAGTCTCCGTCCTTTGTCTAGTAGAGCAACTAGACCTGCACAGCGCAGTACAAGAGGGCTTCACAAGTGCCAGACACAGGTCTTCGGCTTCCATGTCCAAAGGGCTTGGAAAAGGATGATGATTGGAAATTCAGGAAATGGGATTGGGAAGGAGGAAGAGTGGTAGAAAGTTTGGTGGCCTGTCCACCTTGGGAGTCACAGCTCGTGGATGACCTACTGCTGATGCTTCTTATTACAAATTCAGGCACCCTGCTTGCTTTATTCCATGTATTGATGCATTGCTGTCTCACCCTCAGGTAGCTGTTAGGATATCTTCCACTAAGAATTCCATAGAGTTCACCACTTACAAGTTCCTCAGTTATGGATTTTCTATACAGTACTTTCAATTATCTTGCAAATTTTAACAACACAAAGGAAAGTAAGGCCTCTATAGGCTTTACACTCACATCTTTACTTTTGCATTTACAGTACTGTATATGCAAAATAAATGCACATACAGGCACAACTTTTTTTTTAACCACTCGTCTTCTGCAGTGGGTTATCTAACAAAACTCCATATATCCATCCCATTTTTTATTTCTACTTAACTTAATTTCCACATACAGTATACCTCATGCTATTCCATGTAGGGAATTTCTGGTATTGTCTTGCTCTTTTCTCATACAAGGAAAACCCATCACATCTGCATTCTTTCATAAATTCTAAACATCAAACATTCAAAAGCCTCTCAACTAATTCTAATCTCTTGTTCCCCAGTCCACATTTTTCCATGCTAATTTTAACATTCCAATTCACTTTGCTGACTTGTAGCATTTTCATAATTCTTACCAAATTAGTTACTAAATTAAAAGAAAAAATGATATAGTACTGTAAATCACTTTAATGTGCATGAAATGAACCTACTTTTCTGGATCAGTGGCCTTGATTCCTTCTGGTTTAGTTACAATGACTTGCCATAAGGGATCTTCTGTATCATTTTCACCATCAGCATACGTTAACTGGCACAACTGGAAATATTCACCCGCATCATACACCTGCAAAGTATAATTTACGATGATGTAACACCGACATTATATATTGTCCATTATTCACTTTTAACTGATGCCCAAGCACATGTACAAATGTACAATACCATCATATACTGTATTTGTTTCTGAATTCTATATACAGTACAGTACTTAAGTCAGTGATTTGGGCAAATATTATACACACTTAGTTTCATTAAATAGTAGAACAGTAATGGCCAAAAAAAAAGCCCTTTCCCCACATACAAAGCAGAATGGTTAACACAGATTCACCCTCATTTATTTTGGTTCCTGCCACTTGGAGGACCTCATTTATTAAGACTCGATCACAATGACAACATTCAGGGAGAGCTCATGTGGGTTTGGTTATGATATTCAAGCAACTGCTAGTGCCTTTTACTATACCAAAATTATTAAGCATAAAGAGAGTTAAAACAACTTATTCTGTGCAGGCCTTCAGTTGGTTTCTCTAGCCTGAGCTGGAACCACAACCTCTTTTGCCGAGCGGACTGTCGGCTGCTTCCCCTAACCCTTGATCAAGTCACTACCATTTCTGAGTGGGCTCAGAAGGTTGCTTATCCTAGCCAGAGCCCAAGCCATGACCCTTTCTGAGTGGGCCCTTAGTTGCTTATCCTAGCCAGAGCCCAAGCCATGACCCTTTCTGAGTGGGCCTTTGGTTGCTACCTCTAGCCCTGGCCTGAGCCATGGCACCTTCTGAGCAGACCCTTGTTGCTTTCCTTAGCCACGATCCTGTCAGAGCAAGCCTTCAGGTTGCTCCCCGCCTAGCCAGAGTCTACTCTGGACACTGTCCACACACAAGGTCCTCAACAAGAATCTTTTCAAATGCCCTTCTTGTAAACTCTAGGCACAAAGAGCTGTTTCGAGGAGAGCTCAGTCTCACCATCAAGGAATACTGCTTGCTATGACACTAAACAGATTAAAATTGCAAACTATATACAGTACTGTAACAACTGTTACCCAACAACCACCAGAAGACAATCGGGACACACCACATGGTCATTGGAGCCGGCAAGCTTCACATAAGGTCCAGGCAACCCAAGCATGATTGAGAAAGAAGGTACCACCAAAGGGGAGGAAATGGGAGTAAATGTCGTCCTGATCAGAAATGTGCAATTCAACACTTTTAATGCTATTTATTACAGAGCTACTCCTACTCAACTCCCCACAGTAAAATTAAGAAAATGGGGAACAGTCCAGAGCATAAGATGCTGCCAAGCTGGGCGGCAGCAACAGAGTGAATCCACAAAAAGAAGCCGGAGGAAGGAACCAACCCTCTAGGCCACTCACCGAAGGCAAAGCACAATGCTTACCTGACGAAAAGCAGGAGGTACAGTGTCTGAAAGAAATATTAGCAAGAGAAAAACAGAGGCAGGGGAAACACTTCACAAGGTAATGACCAACTACCAAAACAAGGAACACTAGTCCCAAGCAAGGCAATCACATGGCATACAGCTCCAAGGTCATAAGACCCCTGCAAGAACAATTCTCCTCTAACTAAATGCATGAAGTCCACAGAGGAAGGAGCTGGGTCCCATTCCAAAGGCATAACAGCTGAAATCTGGGGCAAACCCAAAAGGCACCAGCACAGAAAATCCACACTGGAGAGGAAAAGACAAAGAAAGGGCAGAAAGTAAAATTTGGCCATCATTCCTCTCCAAACCATGAAAAACATGGAAAAGACCACCAGGACCCAGAACTGGCAAAGGGCAGAAGAGGTTGAAAAGATGATGGGCACTCCAAGTATAAAACAGGAAAAACCCAGACACACCAGGGAAGGATGGACCCCAGAGAAGCGAGGCCCACAAAGTGTGAACTAGGTACCCTCCAAGGAAGAGACGAGACACCTGGGCACAGATATAAGCATTAGTGACACCCAAAACAAGCCCCAGAAGTGGCTTTAAGGATCTGGGACAAATTCTCAAAACCAAGATAAAGAAAAAGTGAAAAAAAAAACTCAAGAATTTACCTGGAAAAAAAAAGAGAAAGAAAAAAGGAAAGAATGATCACATTCTGCCCAAAACGCTGCGCGTACTAGTGGCT